ATCGGGTGGTCAGGCTCGCTGACTTGGTTGATGCATGTCATCGTATCCCAATTGCGTGGATCGATGTTCATGATGTCAATCATTGGATTGTCTGGTCCAGACTCGATTATTTTACAGACCGTCGTCATATAGCTGGAATATTGCTGAGTGCGGCGTTAAACAACACACAAACAAACAAACAAACAAACAATCAAGCTTACGTACTTAAGTACGTACAAACTTATGTAAATATACTTCAGCAACTGAATAGTCACATATTATCAACGAAGCTCATTACGGTGACACCAGATCTCTATGTACAGCCGATATTAGACATAAGATACAAGATGGCAAGATCTCACGAACCACACAAATCCTGTCTTCAGAAAATAACAATTATGAAATTCTAGCTTATCTCAGACAAGACGGCGTGTGCATATTGCCAGTGTATTTTAGCGTGCCATTCATCAGATATGCGTGTTCACGGTTTACTGTATGTCTTGCCCGTCCTATGAGTCGGGAGCGTATCTGTACCGCTTGGAAAATTGTGAATGGCGGCCTTACTGGTCCACTCTTGGTAGGAGGTGTGAGGGCCGTGTCTGAAACTCAGTACGCCGAGCGTCTTAAGGGCCAGTACATTTCAAAAACTGTAGGCCCAGTGACAAGCTGTAGGCCACTGACTGAAACTAAGTACGCTGAGCGTCTTAAGGGCCAGCACATTTCAAAAACTGTAGGCCCAGTGACAAGCTGTAGGCCACTGTCTGAAACTCAGTACGCTGAGCGTCTTAAGGGCCAGCACATTTAAAATACTGTAGGCCAAGTGGAATAAAAAAACAACCCGTAGGCCCAAACGTCTTTGCTGAAAGAGGGAGACGTACTCTTGCATTATAAATTACAAATCACAAACAGTCAACCAGAAGCCTTTACTGCTATAACACCGAGTTCCCAGAGGTGATGATAGATGAAGCCTACATTTATCAGCTTGTAAAATATCTTTGCTGCTACATGTTATACACCATTTGAAAGGTCTAATCCTACTGTTTTTAAATATGAAAGTTGTATTTATCACAATATTTAAATAAACATTGATTCATTGTTAAATTAATCGGAAAATGATGATAAAAAGTACTGGGCACCAGGTACTCAATACCCAATATGTCAGCTATATGACGGCGGTCTGTAAATAATCGGGTCTGGACCAGACAATCCAGTGATTGACATCATGAGCATCGAACCACGCAAATGGGTTACGATGACATGCATAAACCACGTCAGTGAGCCTGACCACGTAAGTCGCCTCTTACGACTAGCATAGTCGCCTTTTACGGCAAGCATGGGTTGCTGAAGACTTATTCTAACCCGGATCTTCACGGGTCCGCGACGAAGTGAGCGTTTCCTGCCCCACCGGTGGCATCTGTGACAAGCGTATCCTGCTCAAACGGTGGCATCTGTGACAAGCGTATCCTGCCCCACCGGTGGCATCTGTGACAAGCGTATCCTGCTCCACCGGTGGCATCTGTGACAAGCGTATCCTGCTCCACCGGTGGCATCTGTGACAAGCGTATCCTGCTCAAACGGTGGCATCTGTGACAAGCGTATCCTGCACTCCCGGTGGCATCTGTGACAAGCGTATCCTGCTCCATCGGTGGCATCTATGACAAGCGTATCCTGCTCCACCGGTGGCATCTGTGACAAGCGTATCCTGCACTACCGGTGGCATCTGTGACAAGCGTATCCTGCACTACCGGTGGCATCTGTGACAAGCGTATCCTGCCCCACCGGTGGCATCTGTGACAAGCGTATCCTGCTCCACCAGTGGCATCTGTGACAAGCGTATCCTGCTCCACCGGTGGCATCTGTGACAAGCGTATCCTGCTCCACCGGTGGCATCTGTGACAAGCGTATCCTGCTCCACCGGTGGCATCTGTGACAAGCGTATCCTGCACCACTGGTGGCATCTGTGACAAGCGTATCCTGCACTACCGGTGGCATCTGTGACAAGCGTATCCTGCTCCACCGGTGGCATCTGTGACAAGCGTATCCTGCCCCACCGGTGGCATCTGTGACAAGCATATCCTGCTCCACCGGTGGCATCTGTGACAAGCGTATCCTGCTCCACCGGTGGCATCTGTGACAAGCGTATCCTGCCCCACCGGTGGCATCTGTGACAAGCATATCCTGCTCCACCGGTGGCATCTGTGACAAGCGTATCCTGCTCAAACGGTGGCATATGTGACAAGCGTATCCTGCTCAAACGGTGGCATCTGTGACAAGCGTATCCTGCACTACCGGTCGCATCTGTGACAAGCGTATCCTGCTCCACCGGTGGCATCTATGACAAGCGTATCCTGCTCCACCGGTGGCATCTGTGACAAGCGTATCCTGCACTACCGGCGGCATCTGTGACAAGCGTATCCTGCTCAAACGGTGGCATCTGTGACAAGCGTATCCTGCCCCACCGGTGGCATCTGTGACAAGCGTATCCTGCTCCACCGGTGGCATCTATGACAAGCGTATCCTGCTCCACCGGTGGCATCTGTGACAAGCGTATCCTGCACTACCGGTGGCATCTGTGACAAGCGTATCCTGCTCAAACGGTGGCATCTGTGACAAGCGTATCCTGCTCCACCGGTGGCATCTGTGACAAGCGTATCCTGCCCCACCGGTGGCATCTGTGACAAGCATATCCTGCTCCACCGGTGGCATCTGTGACAAGCGTATCCTGCTCAAACGGTGGCATCTGTGACAAGCGTATCCTGCTCAAACGGTGGCATCTGTGACAAGCGTATCCTGCACTACCGACCGCATCTGTGACAAGCGTATCCTGCTCAAACGGTGGCATCTGTGACAAGCGTATCCTGCCCCACCGGTGGCATCTGTGACAAGCGTATCCTGCTCCACCGGTGGCATCAGTGACAAGCGTATCCTGCCCCACCGGTGGCATCTGTGACAAGCATATCCTGCTCCACCGGTGGCATCTGTGACAAGCGTATCCTGCTCAAACGGTGGCATCTGTGACAAGCGTATCCTGCTCAAACGGTGGCATCTGTGACAAGCGTATCCTGCACTACCGGTCGCATCTGTGACAAGCGTATCCTGCTCCACCGGTGGCATCTATGACAAGCGTATCCTGCACTACCGGCGGCATCTGTGACAAGCGTATCCTGCACTACCGGTGGCATCTGTGACAAGCGTATCCTGCTCCACCGGTGGCATCTGTGACAAGCGTATCCTGCTCCACCGGTGGCATCTGTGACAAGCGTATCCTGCTCAACCGGTGGCATCTGTGACAAGCGTATCCTGCTCTACCGGTGGCATCTGTGACAAGCGTATCCTGCATTGCCGGTGGCATCTGTGACAAGCGTATCCTGCTCAAACGGTCGCATCTGTGACAAGCGTATCCTGCCCCATCGGTGGCATCTGTGACAAGCGTATTCGCTCCACCGGTGGCATATGTGACAAGCGTATCCTGCCCCACCGGTGGCATCTGTGACAAGCATATCCTGCTCCACCGGTGGCATCTGTGACAAGCGTATCCTGCTCAAACGGTGGCATCTGTGACAAGCGTATCCTGCTCAAACGGTGGCATCTGTGACAAGCGTATCCTGCACTACCGGTCGCATCTGTGACAAGCGTATCCTGCTCCACCGGTGGCATCTATGACAAGCGTATCCTGCTCCACCGGTGGCATCTGTGACAAGCGTATCCTGCACTACCGGCGGCATCTGTGACAAGCGTATCCTGCACTACCGGTGGCATCTGTGACAAGCGTATCCTGCTCCACCGGTGGCATCTGTGACAAGCGTATCCTGCTCCACCGGTGGCATCTGTGACAAGCGTATCCTGCTCCACCGGTGGCATCTGTGACAAGCGTATCCTGCTCCACCGGTGGCATCTGTGACAAGCGTATCCTGCACTACCGGTGGCATCTGTGACAAGCGTATCCTGCTCAAACGGTGGCATCTGTGACAAGCGTATCCTGCCCCACCGGTGGCATCTGTGACAAGCGTATCCTGCTCCACCAGTGGCATCTGTGACAAGCGTATCCTGCTCCACCGGTGGCATCTGTGACAAGCGTATCCTGCTCCACCGGTGGCATCTGTGACAAGCGTATCCTGCTCAAACGGTGGCATCTGTGACAAGCGTATCCTGCACTACCGGTGGCATCTGTGACAAGCGTATCCTGCTCCATCGGTGGCATCTATGACAAGCGTATCCAGCTCCACCGGTGGCATCTGTGAGAAGCAAAAGCAAAGCAAAGTCAACTGTTCTAAAATAAAACAAAGATACGTATGGTACAAGTGAAAATAGGGATATACATCGAATATAATTTTTGTCCCTGATGCATCACATTTGGAAATATTCTTTTACCTTTTACGCCCAATGGTTTGGTTTGGTTTGTTGTTTTACGCCGCACTCAGCAATATTCCAGCTATATGACGGCGGTCTGTAAATAATCGAGTCTGGACCAGACAATCCAGTCATTGACATCATGAACATCGATCCACGCAAGTGGGATCGATGACATGCATCAACCAAGTCAGCGAGCCTGACCACCCGATCCCGTTAGTCGCCTCTTACGACAAGCATAGTCGCCTTTTAGGGTAAGCATTGGTCGCTGAAGACCTATTCTAACCCGGATCTTCACGGGTCTTACGCCCAATGGAATTATAACTGTTCCCAATTAATAAATTGAAATAAACATATAACATACAACAATATATAATACATACTAATACTTTGCTTTTCATCGATTTTTGCAATCGAATTAATTATGTTTATAGACCAGGAATTTAATATGTTCAAATCACACTCACAAACAGAATGAAGAGTGACGACAAGGCACGCTCTTGCTGTCCTGATATTCATGGAAGACTTGTTGCATTGTTTGTAAGGGAACACTGGTAAATTGGGCGTTATTGCGGAGCCTCTCGTGACGAGGAACTAAGATAAATACTGACAGACATGGTAGTAATCTCTAGTCGGACACAGGCACGATATCACCATCGCGACTGGAAATATTGACGAGTCATACAGACCAGCGCCCAGTGTCGGAGGAAAACCATATTGAAGTCACTGTGAACTGAAGCTCCAGTGTGCCATTATGAAGACACTGAACATGGATATTTTACATGTGTGGATGTCCTGTCTCCTTATTGGCAGTTTGTGCATGTTGGTTTGTGGTAGGTGTGATTTCATGTATTTGTTTTATTATGGTTATAACACGTCCCATTTTAATTCTAGAAACCCATTTGTCCAGAAACACTCCATGCTGTGGCTCGTTTCGGTCAAAATTCAACATGCTGTTTTCATGCGTTCATACTAAGGAAGAAAGAAATGAAAAATAAAATGTTTCGAAAACGCAAATATAAAACTATGTCGCCCATGGGCGAAGAGTGGCCGATTTGCGAGAATATTTTCCTTTGCTCAAGACTCATGTTTTTTTGTTGTTGCAAATACATAAAGGCGTTTCTACAAGTATCATGACGAATAATTCAACTCATTTCAAACTTAACTTGTGATCATGTCGATGTGCTTTCTGGAATCACAGATATTTTGGTCACTGCTTCAAAACACAGGAGTCGAAGAATTTTAAAATTTATCATTACATAATATAAAACCCGAGGGTAAATTATTATTTTCCATTTTATTCTGGAACACATTAGTTTACAAAAAGATTCTCTCCAATGGGGCGTTGGTTTGGGAGCGGAGATACAGATTGTATTATCAAAGAGTCTATGAGGTGAGGTGAGTCATTGAGTTTTTAAGTGTCATCTTAATGACACCCCCATTTTGATATGTAGTTGAACTTTGGACAACTATTATTCATTCATTTTTAGAGTCATGACGCACCCTTTATGATAATATGTGCTTCCGACAAACAGACAAATTATATTTAAAGCCAAATAAACGCCTTTTGTTAATGTCTCTGGTGTTGCCTTGAAAAAGTAAGATGAGGGATGTGAACGGTAACAGCAGGGATTAAAGTTTTACATATTTTAACATTATCTAGTGTTACTACCTTGAAGAATTCCTTTTTCATTTTCATGTGGTACATATAGTTACAATTATTCATTTCAAATTTACTTAATTCATACTTTATTTGCATTTTTCTTTAAAAATGTATCATGATGTACTTCATCAGCAGATATATCATGGTTACTTAAAGACAACTTTGTTGACAAAAACATACTTTTATGTTTTTGTTGTTTAACACCGCCTTCAGCAATATTCCAGCTATATGACGGCGGTCTGTAAAAAGGCGAGCCTGGACCGGACAATCCAGTGATTGACATCATTAGCATCGATCCACGCAACTGGGATAGTTGTTCAACACGTACCAAACAATATTCAAGCTATATGACGGCGGTCTGCAAATAATCGAGTCTGGACCAGACAATCCAGTGATCAGTGAATGCTTGCCATAATTGGCGATTATGAGACTGACGGGATTGGGTGGTCAGGCTCAGACTTGGTTGAAGCATCGATCCCAATTGTGTGGATCGATGCTCATGATGTCAATGACTGGATTGTCTGGTCCAGACTCGATTACATAAAGACCGCCGTCATTTAGCTGGAATACTGCTGAGTGCGGCCTAAAACAACAAACAAACCAACCAACCAAATCATACTCAACGTAGTCACTGGATTGTCTGTTCCAGACTTTATTATTTACAACCGCCGTCATAATATGGAATATCGTGGCATTAAACGATAAACAAACAAACAAACAAACATGGAATAATAATTCACCAGTATCAGACTCGGTTATAGATACCGAAAAATACATTGAAAATCTCAGTTCAATGTTTAAAACGAGATCATACATTTTTTAAAAATTTAGTCATAAATTAAATTTTTAGGTTAAATATGTTTTAAGAATGTTCCTGTTAGCAGGAAAGAATGCAAATATGCAGGTTGACGAAAGGACGATCAGAGAAAACCCCAATTGCCTTACACTCTCCGAGGAGTTGCATGTGGCGTTGGAGAGTGATGGCGTGACGTCGACCTTGACCTTGATCAAGAACAAAAACGCTGGTGTCAACGCTCCCGTGTATACGTCCAACAAAGGTGGCGAGACTCAGAGTCTGAATCTTATAGACATTACGGTATGAGACATATTACATTGTGTGTTCATATATACAAGTGAACAATATAAAACAAAAACACTGCTTACTAAACTTCTGGGCAAAAGAAAGGATACACTTGAAAATTGGATTTGGCCAAAACATTTCAAACGTTATCCAGATGTTGTTAGGCTGACAACAGTCACCGAAACACTGCACATACTTAAGGTCCGAATCACAGTCGTAAAAGGCGACTATGCTTGTCGTAAGAGACGACTAACGGGATCGGGTGGTCAGGCTCGCTGACTTGGTTGATGCATGTCATCAATCCCAATTGCGTGGATCGATGCTCATGATATTAATCACTGGATTGTCTGGTCCCGACTCGATTATTTACAGACCGCCGTCATATAGCTGGAATATTGCTGAGAGCGGCGTTAAACAACAAACCAACCAACCAATCAACCAACCGAATCACAGCAGTGAAACCCGTGTCAATACGTCAACATCTAATAACCATTTCTTGTTTGTTTCATTTGTATTCTCTGTCAAACATGGGTGTTTACCTTCTTTTTCCCTGCAGTTTATATATGCTCATCGTCAAAAGAAACGTGAACCATAGAAACATATGGAGAAGTATGTACGTTAAAAAGTGATGTTTCCAATTAATGACAAAACTGACAATCAGTCAAGTGCTCCCACAGAGTGTCTTTATTCTTATCACGATATGCTGCACGTGATTTCCAAACTTTACACGCTAATCCTGCACGAGACAAATGATGCATATCGAGTCATGGATCTATTACGTCACATATGATGCGTTCATGAGCGTAGGTTGACACAACATTCAAGTATGTTCGTTTATGCATCGAACCAATGAAATATCTCTTGAATATAAGTAGGTCTTCATATGTTAACTCATGGAAACACATGTATGGTGAAGATCCGGGGTAGATTGGGCCTTCAGTAACCCATGTTTGACTTAAAAGGCACCTATGCTTGTCGTGAAAGGCGACTAACGGGATCGGGTGGTCAGGCTCGCTGACTTGGTTAATGCATATCATCGATCCCAATTGCGTGGGACCCGTGTAGATTCCGGGGTAGAATAGGTCTTCAGCAACCCATGCTTGCCGTAAAAGGTAACTATGCTTGTCGTAAAAGGCGACTCTTCACGGATATTTTCCCTTGAGTATGCTCATATTTTCATACGATAACTCGCTTTGGGTTTTGCAGGAGCGAAAGAAGAAGTTATGTATAGATCAATCTCATTAAAATCAGATCTAAGTTCTCGCTGCCGCTGATCAAAGATCAGAACGACCTTTCGCGAACTTTGATCGACCACTGAGCTGACTGACAAGAAGTTCCCATCAGCCAATTAGAAAGCAGCTTTCTCGAGCTTTACGGCACTCGTTTCAACCTGGCGACTTCCATTTCACACAACGCTTGAAAAATATGTTGACAAGTTCTCGATTAAAATTTTAAAACTGAACAAACGAATATTCCGGTATGTCTAATATATAGTTGAGATTATATGGCAGTGCTTTCCACGTTCTGTGCAACGCTCTCCGTTCAAACGTTTATCCCACGGAAGCGAAGATGGACGATAAGTTTGACGGAATCAGTCGTACTGTTTTCGAGCTTGCATGATTAGAAAACACATTCCGACTGTCACTTTCACGATCTGGTAAGCGCTCTGATTGGTCGGATGTAAGGTTGTTCTGACGTGACCCGTAATGGGATGTCCTCAGATCTTTGTTTAGCGATAGCGAGAACTTGGATCTGATTTTAATGAGATTGTATATAGATTGTATTGAATTGTGTACTGTGTCTGGGTGGGATATCCAAGTTACACTGTGGTATGGTATCCCAGCAGCTGGCACTGTATATTCGGAAATGATAAGTTATTTTATCTGAATCGTTTTTTGTTTTGATTCGAAGTGTTTTTTTGCCAGAATGTCGACATGTACCTGGATGTAACCAATATGGCGTCAATGAAGGTCACGTGTTTTGCACCACACAATGAGAGCGTGCAATTCATATTTGTAAGTATTAGAATAACAAACCTACTTTACTGTAATAACATACTTATTAATTTGTTAGGCCTGTAAATTTAACTCCTTAAGAAACGACTTGTTCAAAGAGAATTTCGTTTTTCAGCCGGCCTCGGACTTTCTGGCACACGTCATGCCACGTAAAAAACTTTCATTCAAAAGACCTATTATGTAAAGAAATCATGGGAAATATAATCCCAACAACTGTAAGCGACATTGACAAGAATCGTTGTCAGTGAGTGAGTGAGTGAGTGAGTGAGTGAGTGTTCCAGTTATATCACGGCGTGTCAGCTTGACGTGGGAGGAAAGCCCGAAGTGATGCAGGTCTCAGACGTTTACCACTTCGGTAAAACCCACGAGCACGGGTATGGTGCTGACGCTCTTGACAATACATGTGCGATGTTCTTTATTCCAGGAGGGGACACTCGCTTTCGGTGACAAAGAATGGGTCCTCAAACCAAACACAGGGAATATATTCAGTAGTCCTGTACAGTATGACATGGAGCTTTACCAGCTTCCGGACTTCGGAGGCGATTTCAAAGTGAGACGTAAGTTACGAAGTTGTTGGCGAATGGGAGACTTGGGTCTCAAACCTATGGAATACCAATGCCTTTTTGTTGCAAAACATAATATTATTTAAAAATATTTGTTTCCGAGACAATTGTTTTCCATGACAAGCAATTATGGGTTTTTTTTTGGTGTAAGTATTTATAAACATCTACCAATGATGCATCGCGCTTTCAGCATTGACGGGGAAGACAGATGACACCAGCACGCCAACTCCTAACGGCGTCCCAAAGCCAACTGCTCCAACCAGATCGAAACGAGACGTGCCTGCCTACATCGTAGACTTGCTCGCTGTCATTGACTACAGCATCTACAAAGAGTAAGATACTTGCAGTGAGTGAGTGAGTATGGTTTTACGCCGCTTTTAGCAATATTCCAGCAATATCACGGCGGGGGACACCAGAAATGGGCTTCACGCATTGTACCCATATCGGGAATAGCGATACTTGCAAAGGCTTTGCACTTACATTGGTCCCAAGCAACCCATGCTGGTCGTAAGAGGCGACCAAATGGATTGGGTGGTTGGACTTGGTGGTTTAGTTGATTGGGTGTCATCGTACCACGACGGCGTGGATCGTTGTTCATGATATCAATCACTGGATTGTCTGGTCCTGACTTGGTTATTTACAGACCACAGTCATATAGCTGGAATACTGTTGTGCGGCGTAAAAAAACAATAGGAAATGAAACCTGATTACACTTACAAAGTTTGTTTGTTTGTGGGGGCACGGGTGGCCCAGTCCTCTGTGCAGAGTTGCGTCCCTTGGGCACGCCAGAAACCTATGATTGTGGGTTCGATTACCGGTTCGCCCCGATTATGTTTCTAGGTTTGTCAGCACCATACCCGTGCTTGTGGGTTTCACCGAAGTGGTAAACGTCTGAGACCTGCATCACTTCGGGCTTTCCTCCCGAATTAAGCTGACACGCCGTGATATAACTGGAATACAGTTAAAAGCGGCGTTAAACCAAACTCACTCACTCACTTGTTTGTTTGTTTGTTGTTTAACGCCGCACTCTGAATACGTTTCAACTTCAGTGAGTTTCAAATTATCAATGAGGACCGGATCAGTTATTTTCAGATTTTCGAAATATTTTCATAATAAATTTACATTGAACTCATACTGATTAAGGCAGATACGGTATTACATGTCTGCGAACTGTTTGTTTGTTTGCTGTTTAACGCCGCACCCAGCAATAGTCAAGCTATATGACGGCGGTCTATAAATAATCGAGTCTGGACCAGACAGTCCAGTGGTTGACATCATGAGCATCTATCCACGCATTTGGGATACGATGACATGCATCAACCAAGTAAGCGAGCTTGACCACCCGATCCCGTTAGTCGCCTCTTAAGCATAGGTTTATCATATCCATACCTATTGAAATTGTTGTCCTTTTTCTGTTGTGGGTAATATTACTGTTGACGCATGATCACAGAAAGTAAAGTGTGTTCGTCGTAAGTTTATCATATACATTGCAGATCACCGTTATGCCTTGTCTTATTGCAGATATTACGACAAGAGCGCGATGGGAACGGATGCACTGAAACGAGAAGATGCTTTGGCAGAAATAAGAAAATATTTCGCCCACATAGTCAATGGGGTAGGGCGGTCTCGTAATCTGTAGTGAACTTTCCTTGGTTGTTTAACGTCACTAATGTCTTCAGCAACCCATGCTTACCGTAAAAGGCGACTAACGGGATCGGGTGGTCGGGCCAGCTAACTTGGTTGATGTATGTCATCGTATCCCAATTGCGTGGAACCCGTGAAGATTCAGGGATAGAAGAGGTCTTCAGCAACCCATGCTTGCCGTAAAAGTTTACTATGCTTCTCGTAAAAGGCGTCTAACGGGATCGGGTGGTCAGGCTCGCTGACTTGGTTGATGCCTGTCATCAATCCCAATTGCGCGGATCGATGCTCATGATATTAATAACTGGAATGTCTGGTCCCGACTCGATTATTTACAGACCGCCGTCATATAGCTGAAATATTACTAAGAGTGGCGTTAAACAACCAACCAACCAACCAACCAACCAACCAACCATTTGCGTGGTTCGATGCTCATGATGTCAATCATTGGATTGTCTGGTCCAGACTCGATAATTTACAGACCGCCGTAATATGGCTGAAATATTACTGAGTGTGTTGTTAAACAACAAACAATGGTTAACCTCACACGCAGCACTTTTTCTACTATACTACGGCGGCCTGTAAGTACTCAAGTCTTGACCACAGAAACCCCATGATTGATGTTGACATTCCAGTGTATCCTGTGTAAATTTCACTGAGATCGCGAAATGACAGACAATTCTACGGAAACCTTTTAGGGCCACTTGATATTTCATTTTTTCCCCTTGAAATTTCAAGATATTTTCTAAGTTGAAATTTTAAGATAATAAATGATCTTGTCATTTTTAAGATATTAAGTTGAAATGTTAAGATTAAAACTGCGGCGTTAAACAACAAACCAACCAACCAACCAACTAGTATCTTGAAATTTCAAGAAAAAGAATATAAAGAAAACAAATGGCCCTAAAAGGTTTCGGCACAATTCGCAACCTATGTCTGTGCCTTGTCTCACGCAGTGTACCTTGTCTCACGCAATGTACCTTGTCTCACGCAATGAACGTCAGTTCTATGTGTGTTTTACCCTATGAATCTTGCTGAAATCTATTATTGGCTATATGAGAATGTAGTATTATTAAGTGTCCAACATGTCTGTATAAGTGATCCTGTAATTACGCCTATAGTTACGTGACTCAATGTCATTGTAAACTTCTAAAGAAACACAACATGTGACATGCATCAGTGTTATCACAAACACATCAACACGATGACAAGACCAGGTCTCCTTGGCGTAATGAGGGTCCTGATGGGTGGGTCCCATAAGCAGTAAGCAGTAAAATTTAGGGTACTTTTTCATTTAGCAGTATTTCTTCTTCTTTTTCAATAAAATCGTCGCGAAAAATTCCTAAATCAGCCATGGCAGGACATGGGACTTTTAATTCTGCTTTCGTTTCATCCTGACAATTTATATTTTTAATACCTGGTAAAATCTCAAATCGCTAAACATTCTAGACTGGTCCCCTGCGTCAGTTGCGCAGCCTGCTTTCAGTGGCGAAGCATTTGGGTCTTGAAGACAGACTGTTTTTGACCATTTTAATCATTTTACGATAAGCAGTAAATTATTTATTTACGTAAAGCAGTTACTTATTGGTATTTTACGATAAGCATTTACGATAAAAAAAGATGACTTTTACGTTTACGATAGTGTTTGAAGGGTTTTTTACGTTAAGCATTAAAACCCATCACGACCCTCCGTAATGTGTGTACTGTTCTTGAAACTGAGATGTATGTTCGGATATTGTGGCCACGTTTTAACAACTAAATAGAAAAGTGATATGTCAAGCATGCCTCTCATATCTACATGGTATACTGGTGTCTGACAATGTGGTATACACGATATGTACAGACACTCAATTATGAAGACATTACCTTTTCAGTATATTTGCAATATACACTGACAGCGTGACCCACGGGTGGCCCCGGGGATATATATCAGTTTCATATTTGTTCTGTTACCTTGTCATTACTATAATTTGGCAGGTGTTCCAAGTCGGGTAGAGGTCATGATTGTCTGTGAAGATTCATTAAGGCTCACGCCTGTTCTTAATTATTAGTTTTTGTGTTTTTTGTTGGCTGTTTAACGCGCACTCGTTACGGCACAAGTTACATTTAAGGTTTATTTCAAACTAAAACGAAACATTATTAGGAAGGTTTTGTTTGTTTGTTGTTTAACGCCGCACTCCGCAATATTCAAGCTATATGATGGCGGTCTGTAAATAATCGAGTCTGGACCAGACAATCCAGTGATTGACATCATGAACATCGATCCACGCAATAGGGATACGACGACATGCATCAACTATTTTTTCAGCGAGCCTGACCACGCGATCCCGTTAGTCGCCTCTTACAAGTATAGTCGCCTTTTACGGCAAGCATGGGTTGCTGAAGACCTATTCTACCCCGGATCTTCACGGGCCTCTTAATTATTAGTAAAATAGTTATTAGTATGTGCTAAAGTGATCCTGTTAGTCATGTGAGAACAATTAAGGCGAGTTACACACTGAAACTTTAAATATGTAGCTTTTTATGTTTCTTTTTTAAAACTTTATGCCCGTTAGAATAAAACTGAATTTGAATCTTAGGAGTATGAGTCAAGTTACGTGTCTGTGTTGATAGTCAGTTTGTTTATTGATATTTTAAATATATATGTGTTTTTGGTAGATGGATTTAACAACACTTTGAAACATATTTAAACCCGAAGTGATGCCATTCTTCGGCGTTTACCCACGAGCAATATTATGTTGCTGACAAACCAAGAAACATAATCAGGGCAAACCGGGATTCAAATCCACGATCATAGGATTGTGGTACTACTAAGGGACGCAACTCTGCTCAGCGAATTACGATGCCTTTGACAAGTTGGACCTATATGACCTCGGCTAACACACACGGTGACACAATTGCAGTACGGCAACGACCAAACTTAGAATCACTCCAACACCCTTCCCGAAATAATTTGCAGTAATAATACCTTATTTTTTGTATCTAAAGTGGATAGAACTATCATAAAACCGGGTGGGCCACTGTAACTTGATAATGCCCTCATATTGCCTGACGACGGGGCATTATCGCGCCCGTTGTTAGGTGACGTCATAGGGTTCAATAGTGACCTCATCTGGTTTGTTTTATGACGTTTCCAAATTTTTAAAAGTGGGCCAGTGACATTCCTTTCAAAACCGACATTGTTGTTAATTTTTATTTGATAACAAATTCCATCCATTTTAGCTATAATAACGGTAACGCTATTTTTCAGGGCATTGTCGTTTGCAGAAGCCCTCGGTCTTTTCAACTAGGGCTTCTGCAAATGGTAATGCCCTGAAAAATAGCGTTACCCTTATAACAAAAGAATGGCGTGTAACCTTTTACTCGTTTGATTGAGTATGATGATTTTCATTAAAATAATAAATAACCTTGAGACAATTTTATTAATAAAAATTCAGGCAGCACTCCGGTATGCTGATACGGACGTGTAACCGTTATTTGTTTTCTTGAGTATGACGATTTTTCTTATATTTATAAATAACTATGAGACATATTTATTTATCATATTCAGATCGCACTGCGGTATGCAGACATTGAGATAGATCCGCCAATTGACGTGCGGTTAATTGGCTATTTCGTCGCAGAGGTATAGTGATATTTTCAACACAATGTTTTCATTTACTTACCTTTATCTTCAAAAACGCTGAAATCCGACCCAGGTAAGTATTTATCACACATGATAATCAATCTGTAAATAAAAATGAAAGGAGAGTTAATAATTGTAAACATCTGAAAAAAATACATTGAAAAGTAATTGAGAAAAAATACGAAAACATTTGGCATGTCAGATCATATGATATTGTTTTAATTAGTTGAGTTACTCATGCAATGGACAATGGGAAGCCCTTTCCTTTTAAAAAAAATATTCCCTTTCGTGTTAGATGTCATATCCAAACCAATATTTGATTGTCATTTGATAATCTGTTATGTAAATACGCAAGACAACAAAGCATTCGTGTACACAGGGACAACAAAAATGACTTTTCACATGAGTAAAGACACATTTATATTATTTTAGTAATTCTTGTATTTTTTTAACCTGTCAGGACGTTTACCTTTCTTCGCGACTCGAAACGAAGCCGATTTATTCATAAATGATCCATTCGTTGATATGTTTTTCTCATGACAAATGTATATTATGGTAAAACAAACTTGTCATGTTATTTATAAATCCACAGGACGAAGTGACGGCGGTATGGACAGAGCCGTACAAGGCATATGACCGCACCAACTTCCTGTACCATGTCGACGCGGACTTGTCCTTGGACCGTCTGAAGCAATGGCGGATGGAAACGACGTTACCTGTTAATGACCATGCCATGTTGTTCACAAGGTTGGTGTGGTCTGCAGCCACTCTCTGACTACAATAAACGTGTTCACGTACAGTGATCTCACGAGCTGATCTCTCTTAGCCTCAAAAACAGTATTTTTGATTGCAAAATAAGGTCCTAGTCGTGTAGCAAATTGGTGAAACCCAAAAGCACGGGTATGGTGCTGACAAACCAAGAATCATTATCAGAACGAATGTTGTATTTGAAGCAACTGTCATCGGATCCTGGTATGCCTGAGACATAATCCTCTGCGCAGCGAAGTGTGGCGACTTGGCCACCTGAGAAAGTATAGGAGCTGTGTTTGGCCAGAAAACTTCAAGACCTAAAATACATGAGGAGATTTTCTAGAAGGTTCAGGTACAGTTTATTTTAAAACAATATATCCCAGTTCTCCCCCTCCAGAGCATGGACGGCCCCTGGGACAACTTAATTAGAGTAAAAGTTCGTTTCGTGTAGTTATTTAGGTGCAGCCTTTCATCTTGGCCCAGTCGTCGAAGGCGCCGCAATTCGCTGTGCATATTTGCATTCCTTGGGCACGCCGGAAACATTGGTTCGAATCTCGGTTCGCCCCGTTTATGTTTCTACATTTGTCAGCACCATACTCGTCTCGTGGGTTTCACCAAAGTGTAAACGTCTGAGATCTGCATCACTTCAGGCTTTTCCTTTAAAAACTGACGCGCCGTGATATAACTGGAATACTGTTACTGGAATACGGCGTTAAACTCAACTCACTCATTTCAAATGACGATCACTTTTCATTATTTCAGATACTCCCTGTCTTATCTCGACAGCGGCACAGTGAACCTTGGAGTTGTCGGTACGTACCCTTCAGTGTGCATTTGAACTAATCATGTGTAACGTAATAGCCATTCGCGAGGAAAGCGTTTTGAGAAAACTAACAAGTAAGGGAATGTTATTCAACGCCACAGTACAATGCAATTGTCTGGCTATATCACGGCTGTTTGTAAATATACGGATCTCTAGAACAGGCACACTGTGGATGTTGGGCGAAAGCTAAGAGACCCTTTGTTTGTTTGTTTGTTTATTTGTTGTTTTACGCCGCACTCAGCAATATTCCAACTATATGACGGCGGTCTGTAAATAATCGAGTCGGAACCAGACAATCCAGTCATTTACATCATGAATATCGATCCACGCAATTGGGATCGATGACATGCATCAACCAAGTCAGCGAGCCTGACCACCCGAAAGAGACCCTTTGACAAAGGTAGATAGGTTGACAAAGGTAGATAGGTATATGGAATAATTAGTAATTAGAGTAACACTTTTACCATTACAACATGATAATGGACCGACCATCTGAAAATCGGAGAGAGAAGGTGTTGTATGGAGACCAGCTATATTTCAAGCTACATCTGAAATGTTTAGTTAAACTATAACCCAATAGTGTTCCTTTTCCAAGAATTTTCGGGGTTAAAAAATATTTTCCATAAAATGCCAGCTCCGACCCCACCCCAACCCAGCAAAAAGATCAAATAGTCGGTCCCTAAGTGTTAAGTAAGTGGTATTTGGTACAAGGAAGGAAACAAGAAAAGAATATGTATTCAGACAAAGTTATAGATGGCGATTATAGATCGACGGCAACGTGAAGGGTGTTACTAACGCCATTTTTGCTAATATGAAAACAACGAATATATCCATTTTGTAACCTTTTTTTTGTTTGTTTGTTGTTTTACGCCGCACTCAGCAATATTCCAACTATATGACGGCGGTCTGTTAAAATAATCGAGTCTGGACCAGACAATCCAGTGATTGACATTATGAGCATCGATCCACTGGAGTGATCCCCCTTTCCACCTTTAGGCTTGTAATGTAGTGTATCCGTTTGTTTAGTTCACCACCGTCATGTGTATTCACGCCAGGTCCTAGGAACACATTTTTGATAACGTTAACAATAAATGTTAATTACCTTAACCTCTGTGGTATCAAATGGTCAAGCTGCATTCAAATTGTCAAGCTGCATTCAAACATCAACAACAATAATAACATAATAATATTTACCAATAGAGATAGAGAATCGCCTTTACTCTACCTTTAAATATTCCTTTGTATACAGGATATGCTTTTGTCGGGTCTACGTGTACCGATGATAGCGTCTCGGTGATTGAAGAGTCCACCGACCGGTTTGCTGGAACGTCGGCTACGGCAGCCCACGAACTTGGCCATAAGTATGTACATAGAGGTGTAGGGGGAATTATCATACCTCCATGTCAGAATGTTTGGTTGTTGTTTAACGCCGCACTCAGCAATATTCCAGCTATAAGACGGCGGTCTGTAAATAATCGAGTCTGGGATAGACAATCCAGTGATTGATATCATGAGCAGCGATTAATGCAATTTGGATCGATGACATGCATTAACCAAGTCAGCGAGCCTGACCACCCGATCCCGTTAGTCGCCTCTTACGACAAGCATAGACACCTGCCATTGTCTGGGTTTAATGTTGCACAATCAGAAAACAAGGTTCTGTGTATGGCAAGCACAACAAGACAACACAGTAACCCATTTTCTGTTGTTGTGACAGTTCCCAGGATTCACATTAAGAATCCAAACAACAATTTATCAGTATTATTATATTATTGTTACCATGATGATATGTCTAAATACTCAGATATGGTGAAATGTGATTTGACATTTCATTGTTTGGAAGTCTGGAAAAAGAGCAAATTTGATACCGAATTTATAGAATAGAGATGGTGTATTGTTCAGAAGATTTAATTCCCTTATGTTACTTTAAACAGTTTATGTTTGAAAACTTTAAACATGTAAACAGTGTTGAATTTATGAGATAGTTTGTTGTTTTTACTGCATATTTTGAAAGATTGTTGAATTAAAGATAATTGATTAATAAACATGTCATTAAATGTAATAAGGTCAATATGAAAACTGCCATTTAATAACACAATATTACAGCCCACAGCGCCCATAAGTAGTGACATATACATATACACATACTGATAGCAGACGATGAACGGATGACGGGATACAGATTCTGCAGCATTTGTGGAATAGGAATAATGCTTCAGATGCGTGGTTCTTACATTTGAACATCATGAGCAAGTTGATCTTCTCAAGAGGTCCCGTGAAGATCCGGGGTAGTATAGGTCTTCAGCAACCCATGCTTGCCGTAAAAGGCGAGTATGCTTGTTGTAAAAGGCGACTAACGGGATCGGGTGGTCAGGCTCGCTGACTTGGTTGAGACATATCATCGTATCTCAACAAAGCAAAAAGTTGATCTCTCAAGAGACTTAGGTTTAAAAAACCGACAAAAACATTTCCATAATCGTAATCGAGTCTATTGTACGATTCCTGCTATATCATATTAAGCATGTGATTATGAATCACTGTCAATGACGACACCAGGTGTTCGCGAGAAATGTGAGCCTATCCTGCCCCACTGATGGCATCCGTCACAAACATACATGAAGGCAAATGAAAGATTCCGCGGAACAAACACGAGAATATATGGTACAAGCATACCACACGCATCGGATTTTCTGGTCACATATTCAAAACAAATGAAGGGCCTTTGGGAAGCGTTATGGTGAAATATGCAGAATGAAACATTACATTGGCCTTCAGAGTTAGTGTCTCCCGTAACTGGCCAAAGTGTTGTTACCGATTGCGTCCAAAAGTCTCTCATTTAATTTGTCTCTTCTAGCCGAACACAACTCACAAAAATGTTCATGGCAAAAGTATATTGCATTTATACACAATACAGAGCAAAGTATCGCATGATATTCCAATAGACAATTCCAGTCAACACCGAACCCTGACGTTATTGCTTACGAACATAATAGAATGACCCGATTGAACAGGTCCCTGGAGTGTACCAAAACATCCGGACGTGGGTGTACTAGTATTGATAATATAAGTATGTTTTTCTTCGACACAGCCTATTTAATCACAACCACCCAAGATGTCTTCAACTACAACATAATATTGTCAGCAGTTTTGTATTCTCACGTTATTACCCAATGAAATCATATAAACCTTGGTAACCATGAGATCGGGGTATTGCGTCCCTAGATCAATAGTCTTCTTTGAATGTGATCTTTAGTGGCCCCATTTTGTCCAGAATCCATGACATCGGGGCAATGACTGCCGGAAAGATCTGTTAAAAATGTAATATTCATTAGAACCTCGGGAAACCGAAAATGTGTTAATTCGGATTATTTCACTGTCTGGATATACGGGAATTCACTGTATCATTATCTTAGTCTATGTGCGCTCTTTTGTGTTTCCTTTCTCAACTTCTTTATGAATGTTCCGTGTGAATTGGTTCATTTCTAATCTTCATTTCAAATTGATCCGACGCGTGAAGATCCGGGATAGAATACATATGTAGGTCTTCAGCAACCCATGCTTGCCGTAAAAGACGACTATGCTTGTCGTAAGATCGGGTGGTCAGGCTCGCTGACTTGGTTGAAGCATGTCATCGATCCCAATAGCGTGGATCAATGCTCATGATATCAATCACAGGATTGTCAGGTCCAGACTCGATTATTTACAGACCGCCGTCATATAGCTGGAATATTGCTGAGAGCGGCGTTAAACTACAAACAAACAAAATCAAATTGATCCTGGTACCTTGAATACAATGAAGCTCCGTTAATCCTGACTTCGTTAATCCTGATAGCTCACATTCCAGTTGTTTTCTGTTTCGGATGGGTTCATTATTTTGCTAAATCACTAGGTATCTTAGGAGAAACTACAGCGTTTAGTGCCACATACATGTTTCCGTGAAAACCGTTGCCACATATGTGTTCATGAGAATCCTATTTTCTCTCACAGTCGCCAAGGTGTATATCATTTCAGATAATACAATGACCTGGTTTTGTTATTGAGAGGAAAGGTTTGGTGAAAAGGGCGTCTGCCCGGAGAGCGGAATGTCCGGGGTTCGATCCCCAAGCCGCGTCATACCAAAATGCATTACAATATGATACTTGTTTTTCCCCCACCCCGCGCTCGGCGTTAAGGATCATAAACAAGGACTGGTCAGCTCGGAGTCCGTACAATGTATCTGAGAAATGTATACATGCTAAACAGCAACATGGTATCTCAGTTGGCTAGCTTTAAAACCGACATAAATCCGGACTAATACAAGCAGCCACACGCACGTGGCTATATAAGTGCAACGTTAAACCCCATTTCACTTCACTGCCTTGGTTATTGTATACACGGGTCTACTGGACACTTGAAACTTTCTGAATGGAGAGCATTTCATTTTTGAGATAAATTTACTGTGATGTCAATTTCAACCTAGATACCATAACTGTAATTTCTTTCGTGATATTGACATGACATGGTTGAGTGTAATATGACATAATTGGCTAAATGTTGAGTTCAGTGACGATCGGTGTCATTCCGCGTATATATCAAAGGAGACGTATGAAAAAAATATTTAAATGGTGAAAGGTCCGACACCAATACCATTCAACAGCATTTTTAAAAACAATCAGATTTCAGAATAATTAATAAATAACGTGACAAAACTCTTTCCATATCCAACTGAAATCCCTGCAATAAAGCATATTGTACGATTCCGACTATATCATGAACATGTGTTCATGAATCACTATCAAATAGTGATGATACCAGGTGTTCGCGAATAGGTGAATGTATCCTGCCTCACCGGTGGCACCCGAAGACTACCATTGATTGTATGATACCTTGTTACCTTCAGTTTGGGTGCGGAACATGACGGAACGAACAACATTTGCTGGAAAGATGAGAAGTTCCTCATGTGGCCAAGTTTAACGTCCGTCAATGTCTTCCACGTGTGGGAGTTTTCTCACTGCTCTGTGGCATATTTCAAGCATCATCTTGGAAACCTGGTAGACACTGCGTAAGTTCTTAACAGGCCGTGCATGAAAGTACGGCGCCAACACACCACCATCACTGTGGATCGGGTGGTCAGGCTCGCTGGCTTGGATGATGCATGTCATCGATCCCAATTGCGTGGATCGATGCTCATGATATTAATCACTGTTTCAGACTCGTTTATTTACAGATATAGCTGAAATATTGCTGAGTGCGGCGTTAAACTACAAACAAACAGCAAACCAACGTGCTAAAGAGGTGTACACAGTATCTGGGCCAAATAATACTAGTACAACGCTGTGTAGTTGCCGCTATAATTTGTACCTATTTTTTCATCTGAGGACCTAGTAAAAGAAAGCATGAATATCATCAATGTAGATGCTTGAAATCAGTTAAATACATTACCCGAACTTTGTAAGGGGTTATTATGTCCCCCCCCCCCCCCCCTCCCCCTAACAAAAAGAAGAAAAAAAGAGGATCGGTTTACGTTGGCGTTGGTGTTGGTGTTGGCGTCCGATTTCCCATCCCATTTCGAGCCATTACTGAAAACCGTTCAATGTTTTTTAGTGAAACTTGGCATATGCATTGCTAATCATCTTAACTGGTGCGTTGTGCTATTATGATCTTTTTCAAAATGTTTTTGTTTATATTTCCATAGTAAACAGGTTCGAATTTCAAACGTGGGTAGGGTTCGTTTCCGGGTCATCACGTGGAAATCATTCAACTTATTTCAACGAAAGTTTGCAAATGGATTGCTCATCAGCTCTTTTGCTATGTTATTATTTTTTTTAAAATATTAAAAATCTTATGTTCCTATACTTCCATGGAAACAATATCGACTTAGTCCCGAACAACTTTAGGCTTCGTTTCCGAGTCCTAACTCTCAAACTAATGTATATTATTGCCTTTTCATATATTTCATTTTTTTATTTGTTGATTTCTTGTGTTTCCAATTAGTCTTAAACAAGTAGCGTTTGTTTCCCCTCAAAACTCTGCAGCTAATGAATATTTCTGCATTCAACCATTTTCTTTCAAGGCTATAATTTGCTTTTATTGCATTCTTATTGTTTTGCACATATATGGTAACTACTTGAACTGATGTATCAAAAGGAGTGCGTATGTTGTTATGAGTAAAACACATTCTAGTTCCTAATTCCTCTATGATAAATCCATGATATTACTTATGCTGTGTAGACTTTATCCGTATCCCTATCACATGTTGAGTAGTCCACATTGCTGGTATGTTGTTCCTTCACAGAGCGGGTTTCAAGTGTCTCAGTGAGGCTGCGGAACCTACCGACGTGTTTGACGTCGCGGGCAAAAGACACGGCCAAGAACTTACAATCGCTGAGCAATGTGAACTGGGCTTGGGTGCTGGTTCAACCATCTGTTACGTGAGTGAACGAGCGAGCGCGTGCATTTAACACCGCAATAGTCCAGCTATATGACGGTGGCATTGTTTATAATCCGAGGTCCGGATAATATATCACATGAATGTATTAAACCTGACATCGGTTACACGATCGATTTTATGAGTGCTTCGTACTATGAGTAAAGATGAGAAACGTTCTTTTTTGAGTCACAGTTGAGACGTGAATGGATTAAGTCAAAACTTTATGACAAGATACTTCATCTCTCACCTACGCAAATTCCAAATAGTAGGTCTTGTAGAAACATTTGTATGGTACATGTCAGACATCAATTGGTTCGATGGCTGTGATGTCTTCTAGGTACATGCATGTCAGACATTAATTGGTTCGATGGCTGTGATGTCTACTAGGTACATGTATGTCAGACATCAATTGGTTCGATGGCTGTGATGTCTTCTAGGTACATGTATGCCAGACATTAATAGGTTCGATGGCTGTGATGTCTACTAGGTGCATGTATGTCAGACATTAATAGGTTCGATGGCTGTGATGTCTACTAGGTACATGTATGTCAGACATTAATTGGTTCGATGGCTGCGATGTCTTCTAGGTACATGTATGCCAGACATTAATAGGTTCGATGGCTGTAATGTCTACTAGGTACATGTATGTCAGACATTAATTGGTTCGATGGCTGTGATGTCTTCTAGGTACATGTATGCCAGACATTAATTGGTTCGATGGCTGTAATGTCTACTAGGTCCATGTATGCCAGACATTAATTGGTTCGATGGCTGTGATGTCTTCTAGGTACATGTATGTCAGACATTAATAGGTTCGATGGCTGTGATGTCAACTAGGTACATGTATGTCAGACATTAATTGGTTCGATGGCTTTGATGTCTGCTAGGTACATATATGTCAGACATTAATTGGTTCGATGGCTGTGATGTCAACTAGGTACATGTATGTCAGACATTAATTGGTTCGATGACTGTGAATCTTCTAGGTACATGTATGTCAGACATTAAGTGGTTCGATGGCTGTGGTGTCTTCTAGGTACATGTATGTCAGACATTAATTGGTTCGATGGCTGTGGTGTCTTCTAGGTACATGTATGTCAGACATTAATTGGTTCGATGGCTGTGATGTCTTCTAGGTATCGGAGTATGATCGACTCCTGGTGGCGTTTGCATAATTATCCATCGTTCAATGAGTAAGTTTTGCAGGTTAATAACATCAGACATTGATAATTTTCTCTGCATTAATGCAAACTATTTTTTTTCTCTTTTGGCAGAAACTTAAGTTTGATATGTACTTATATTTATATCCCACCGTCTACTGTAACAATCGTAACTCTAAATATAACATTGACCTGCTTGATCAGCTGTTGCTATTGGAAAGCCTACAAAAAACAAGTCGACATTGGGTTGTTTCAAAGAAAGAATTTCTTTCGAAAGAATCCCTTCGTGAAACCATTTTGAATAGTCTGAAGGAAAGTATGTTGTCTTGTGTTCACTTACTTCTCATTAAACTTCACTAAACAAAGATGGGTCTATTGATTATTGTTATCTTAGATTCTTCAGATTGTATGAAGAAAACTACATTTATCCATAATCAACAAAGTAAGGCACCAATAAATTACTTATGCCTGCTACTGGAAATATAAATCTGATTTGTGTACGTTTGAACAGAAAAATACCTAACTCAGAGATACTATCAATTCTCCATCAAAGTTTTGGAAACAAATACGTTCATTCAAACAACAGCCAAATGCAAAAGATACTACGTCAAAAGCTCAGTAGCTTATCCATTTTCTGAAAGTTTTTACGAATATTGTTTCCACACTGACGGTGATGTGTTAGATATTATGGATGTTTACTCTGCATGTTACAGTGATGTTGACAAACTTATTTTTGAAACATCTACATCACAGGATGAAATTATGGACGCTATATTGCATCTAAAAAGTGAAAAAGCTCCTGGCCCTGGCCATATTGTGGTTGCAATGATAAAATTATTTAAATTTGGGATTTGAATTTTACATCAGTTCTTAATTTCAGGACTACGAATTGGGCTTATATGCGAGATCGGAATTCCGAAACTCGGGGTGGTTTTAGAACAAAACATTCAACGACAGATCATATATTCAAATTATATTCAATAATCCAAAAATGTCTGTCACACGTCCTACACACATTCACAAGGTGTATTTAGCCTTTGACGATTAAAAAAAAAATGCTTTTGACACCGTAATCGTTTCAAACTATGGCACTGTTTAAGAACTGCTGGTCTGTTGTGGAAAATGTACTCTATACTAAAAGCTATGTATTCAAAGATCAAACCATGTGTTAGATGTGGTGACGATGTACAGCGATTTCTTTGAACGTCCATATGGGCTTCGACAAGGAAGTATCTTGAGCCCGATATTCTCATTATATTGTTTTATGAAATTATGGCTGTCATTTTAAAACTGTCCATATACATGTATGTTCAAAATCTGATTTAACCTAGAAGCGAACTGTTAAACATAAGGATTATATTATATACAACTCGTACGTATATGAGCCGGGGGTATTAAATGCAATACTATCTTTGACTTTGATTAATCGAATCTACCCAGACAACCTAGTGATTGATATTATGAACAACGATCCACGCCGTGGGGTTACGATAACACGCAATCATCCAAATCACCTTGCCCGAACACCCGATTCATTCAGACGATTGTTGAGACTAGCATTGGTTGCTCGAAAACATTTTTACCCACGAACAAAAGATAGATATAATATTAACCCCGGTGTACAACGTTAAATGGAAATGCAATGTAATTACATATATAAAAAAACAACTAAAAACAAAATGGACATGCAATGAAATTATATAGGTATATATATATATATATATGTAAACAAAAAAACAACATAAAAACAAAAAACAACAACAAACAAAACAAAACATCTGTAGTAAATTAGTTTTTTCTATGTATTCTATTTATTCTATGTATTTGAGAAGTACATGCGTAACATTATTTTCAGAGTCTTACGCCTCTGGACACACTGTGTGGAGGATTATACTGTGAAATACCTGGCTATCCGGGATACTGTCAGCCCATATATCCAGCCCTTGGGACCCAGTGTGGAAGTGGGAAGGTAAGCCATGCTTAACTGTTTCTGTAACACTACCAGTCGGTCATCCGGCCCTTGTATCTCAGTGTGGGAGTGGGAAGGTAAGACACTGTGTCTCTACCACTACCAGTCGATCATCCGGCCCTTGTATCTCAGTGTGGATGTGGGAAGGTAAGACACTGTTTCTCTAACACTACCAGTCGGTCATCCGGCCCTTGTATGCCAGTGTGGAAGTGGGAAGGTAAGGCATGCTTAACTGTTTCTCTAACGCTACCAGTCGGTCATCCGGCCCTTGTATCCCAGTGTGGATGTGGGAAGGTAAGATACTGTTTCTCTTACACTACCAGTCGGTCATCCGGCCCTTGTATCTCAGTGTGGATGTGGGAAGGTAAGACACTGTTTCTCTAACGCTACCAGTCGGTCATCCGCCCCTTGTATCTCAGTGTGGATGTGGGAAGGTAAGACACTGTTTCTCTAACACTACCAGTCGGTCATCCGGCCCTTGTATCTCAGTGTGGATGTGGGAAGGTAAGACACTGTTTCTCTAACACTACCAGTCGGTCATCCGACCCTTGTATCTCAGTGTGGATGTGGGAAGGTAAGACATGCTTAACTGTTTCTCTAACACTACCAGTCGGTCATCCGCCCCTTGTATCTCAGTGTGGATGTGGGAAGGTAAGACACTGTTTCTCTTACACTACCAGTCGGTCATCCGGCCCTTGTATCTCAGTGTGGTTTCGGGAAGGTAAGACACTGTTTCTCTAACACTACCAGTCGGTCATCCGGCCCTTGTATCCCAGTGTGGATGTGGGAAGGTAAGACACTGTTTCTCTAACACTACCAGTCGGTCATCCGGCCCTTGTATCCCAGTGTGGATGTGGGAAGGTAAGACACTGTTTCTCTAACACTACCAGTCGGTCATCCGGCCCTTGTATCTCAGTGTGGGTGTGGGAAGGTAAGACATTGTTTCTCTAACACTACCAGTCGGTCATCCGGCCCTTGTATCCCAGTGTACATGTAACTGTTTTATGCATATCAGCAATTACTATTTAGTCTGTACTTCCATTCGATATAAGTGTCTTTCAAACACCGCATGAGACCGCATGATAACGACTTTTTTCCGAGTGTCGCAGTTTTGCGCGACCAATATGTTTGACTCACTAACATCCCTTAAACTATTCCTTTTAAAGCTGATCAGAACATATATAAATACATTAACGAGATACCTAGATCTTGATACGCCATGGTATAGCTGAGACAAAATGTGCGAGGCCGCGTAAAACTTAATAACTCATTCACTTTGGATAAATATATATATATTATTCTCTTGAAAGGAAAAGAAGTAGCATTGAAACCTTTTGACAAATTTTAAACAGTACATAAGTATGTATTTATCAAGACGTTCTGTGTAATCAATTTATATATACGCTAGACCCGTGAAGATCCGGGATAGAATAGGTCTTCAGCAACACATGCTGGTCTTAAAAGGCGAATATGTTTGTCGTAAGAGGCGACTAACGGGATCGGGTGCTCAGGCTCGCTGCCTTGGTTGAAGCATGTCATCGATCCCAATTGCGCGGATCGATGCTCATGATATCAATCACTGGATTGTCTGGTCTAAACTTGATTATTTACAGACCGCTGTAATATTGCTGAGTGCGGCGTAAAACAACAAACCAACCAACTAATATATACGCTATGCCTATGTATAATTGTCTACCTGTTTACCTATGGTAACACTGTTCACCCATTATTACCAGTTTCATAGTTTTACCTATGTTGGCACTATGTAGTTATGTTTTCCTATGAATACATCTGTTTACTTCAGTTAACACCGTTTACATAAGTTGACACTCTTTACCAAAGCATACCTCTGTTAATGTTTACATCTGTTCAAGAACATGTAAACATGTTTACTTCCGTTTACCTAAGTTGACACCTTTTCGCGAACACCTGGTGTCATCACAATTTGATAGTGATTCATACGCACATGCTCATGATGTAGTCGGAATCGTACAATCGACTCTGCTTTATGCAGAGATTTCTAATGGATATGGAAAGGTTTTGTCGCTCTATATACACGTGTTTATTTATACTGAATAACAAAAGTTCCTGTGACATTGAATAAGATTTAATGCAAACTTATGTTTTTTACCAAATCTGATACAGTTTCGGTTTGAAACAGATAAAAGACTCCTGTAAGTGTTCAAATGGTTTAATTTGCCATACTGACTTCAGAAAATGCGTGATTTCATAAAAAAAACCATGAACATGCCAAAATGTCAATCTACAAATCAATAGCGTGTGTCCACCTCTGGTTGCGATGCAAGCAACACATATTCGTCTCATGGAATGGACCAGGCGTCGCACAAAGTCCTGTGGGATATCTGTCCATATCTGCTCGAGCATGTTTCGAAGTTCCTGGAGTGTCTGTGAAACTCGTGGTTGACGTCGAATGCGCCGATCCATCTCATCCCATATGTGCTCGATTGGTGAGAGATCAGGGGAGTGAGCCGGCCTGGGGATGACATTCACGTTGTTTTGTTGAAGAGAATATTAAACAAGTCGAGCAATATGAGGCCGGGCGTTGTCATGCCTGGGCCATGACGATGCAAAAGCGTAGAACAACAGGGCCGATGATCTCGTCGCGGTAGCGCTATCCATTGAGATTTCCCTCTACCACTATCAAACGGGTCCTCTGTCTTGCTGTAATCCCACCCCATACCATAACGCTGCCCTCCCCGAACCGATCTTCTTCCATGACACAATGATTGCCGTAACGTTCACCTCGACGTCGGTACACTCGAATCAGTCCATCGCTGTGGCTGAGGTGAAAACGAAACTTGTCAGTGAATAGAACTTGTCCCCACTGCATGGCCGTCCAGCGTAGACGCTGTCTGCACCACTGTAGACGTGCTTGGCGGTGGTTTCCTGTCAAAATTGGACGTCTGGCGGGTCTTCTGGCGACAATCCCTGCACATCTCAGGCGACGACGTACGGTTTGTGAACATATTCGTCGAAGTTCAGGGATGCTTCTTGCAGTCACCATTGCTGACTGGAATCGATTTCGTAGGTGTGTTGTTCGCGTCCAGTTGTCTTGTCGATTATTAGTTACGCGTGGCCTGCCACTCAGAGGATGGTCTCTGATTGCATTCGTCTGTTGCCAACGTTGCCACCAAATGGTGTTTCTGTGGACGTTAAATTGTCATTTAATTGTCGCTCATTTTCGGACAGGCTTGGAATTTCGTAATGTTGAATAATTGCGTAATTTTGTTGTTTTTCTGTGTGGTTGTTGTCAGCACGATGCTAAACAATGCATATGGAATCCCGTTAACGCACATGTTTTTATACCTATTCTTGGGTAGTGAAATGCATGGGGCTTGCAAAAAAGTCAACTTTTGAACGGAATGCATGTTTTTCTGTAGCAGTTGCGTCTTTGTAACTTGATTCCATACATGTACTGCAATATTGAAAACCAAACTTTACTTATTTGAAAAAATACACTAAAATAGTGGTGTCACGGGAACTTTTGTTGTTGAGTAATATGTTTGCCTGCGTTTACATATGTTAGTTCTCTGTTTTCCTTCAGTGGTGTCAGGGAGGACAATGTGTAGCCACCGACGATGCGTCAATTACATCAGGTGAATATGATAGTTATTGTTCCATATTGTTCTGTGGTTGTGGGGTAGCATAGTGGTTAAGGCGCCGAAGACTCAGGTTCGACTTCACACATAAGTACAATGTGTGAAGTCTGTTTTTGGTGTGAATTTGCTGACATGTTGCTAAAATCGGCTTAAAACCACTTTCCTCACTCCATATTGTTCCAATGATTCCGGGGTAGAATAGGTCTTCAGCAACCCATGCTTGCCGTAAAAGGTGACTATGCTTGTCGTAAAAGGCGACCAACGGGATCGGGTGTTCAGGCTCGCTGACTTGGTTGATTCATGGCATCGATCCCAATAGCGTGGATCAATGCTCATGATATCAATCACTGGATTGTCTGGTCCAGACTTGATTAATTGCAGACCGCCGTCATATTGCTGGAATATTGCTGAGAGCGGCGTTAAACAACAAACCAAACCAAAAATCCAATGAACGGTATCTTCCGCAGTTGCCCTAAGTGATAAAATCAGGAGAAAACTTTCATCAAGATATCATGTCTGTTGATGGGTTATAATTATTATATAAGACATAAAAACATGAGTGTTTGTTTGTTTGTTGTTTAACGCCGCACTCAGATTGACCATGACGTCAACGTGATAAAGTGCCGGGCGCAAGACAGAACACACTTGAAAAATGGATTTGACAAAGCAATTACAAACGTTATCAAAGCGTTGCTAGGCTGACCCGTGAAGATTCCGGGGTAGAATAGGTCTTCAGCAACCCATGCTTGCCGTAAAAGGCGACTATGTTTGTCGTATGATGCGACTATCGGGATCGGGGGGTCAGGCTCGCTGACTTGGTTGATGCATGTCATACTATCCCAATCGTGTGGATCGATGTTCATGATATCAACCACTGGATTGACAGGTCCAAACTCGATTGTTTTTAGACTGACCTCATATAGCTGGACTATTTCTGAGTGCGGCGTTAAACAACAAAGCAAATAGATAAGGACATGAATTCTAAGTTTTCTTTGTTGTTTGTCTTTTGGGATATAAACAATTGAAATACTCGAAATTTTGTTTCAGATCGTTGTCCCCTTGGTGAGACGGCTGACGTGTACGAAACTGGACAAAATTGTTCTTCATATATCGGAGACTATGGCACTACTTCTTGTTACTCAATAGAAAGTCTCTGTTGCAGCACTTGTCGTGATCTAAGTACAGGTGTTACAGGTATGTGAATGTTCATGACCCGTGGCGATCCGGGTTAGAATTGGTCTTAGGTAACCAACGTATGTTCTAAGAGGGTACCGGGTGGTCAGGCTGCTGCAGGGTCGGTTGTCGCATGTCATCGTATCCTAATTGCGCAGATCGAAGCTTATGATGTCAATCACTGGATTGTCTGGTCGAGACTCGACTATTTGCAGACCGCCGTTTGCGTTCAACAACAAACAAATTTTAGCATACAGATTATTGGATGAAGCCAAATGTTTTGTTTGTTTGTTGTTTAACGCCGCACTCAGCAATATTCCAGCTATATGGCGGCGGTCTGTAAATAATCAAGTCTGGACCAGACAATTTAGTGATTAATATCATGAGCATTGATCCACGCAATTGGGATCGATGACATGCATCAACCAAGTCAGCGAGCCTGACCACCCGATCCCGTTAGTCGCCTTTTGCGTGGATCAATGGTCATGACATCAATCACTGGATGGTCTTTCCAGACTCGATTATTTCCAGACCGCCGGAATATTGCTGAGTGCGGCGTTAAACAAAAAACCAACCAACCAACCAACTTATGTACGTATTCATTTACAGGATGCGAGTACGGCGATCGATACGTATGGTGCGAAGAAAGGTTCTGTGACCCCAGTTTGAACGAGACGATGAATGACGGTACACTGTATCAGGTGGTCTGCTGTCAAACGTGTGGCTTGACTGGCGACCTTTACCTTGACGAAAATGCTGCTGTTTCTCTCATGGACAGAGGCATGTTGCACACCTGTACATCAGTGTTGCTGGTGACGCTACTGTTTCAACTCATATTCATGCATTGAAAATATGTTTTCTGTTCATTTTCGTTATTGATGAATTGTGACATAGCTGCGATAAGATACAAGGCTTTATATTCAGTGAGTTAAGATTTATAGTCACATCGGCAGTATTTCTGCCATATCATGACTTCAACAATTTGAACATACATAGTAAAAAGGGGAGACTTTCTTAAATACCTCTCAGCAAAGGACAGTAAAATAACTAGAGTATCACGTACATATTTAAAACTATTATGGAACGATACAACGACATTACTATACATAACTAAACATGATACAAATGAGCTGCAGATCTCCAGCCAACAAAGATTAGACCACCATACAAGGGACCATGGGGACTTACGGATTTACACCATCCCTTCAACCGCTGGTGATTATAGTCAATAGTAGCTATGAATCAAAACTAACCAATACACTACGATTAAAAATAGGAATAGACCCAAATGAACTTTGAACCTACTGTTTTTTTTATGAAGTAGTCACTTAAAAGAATTCTGTGACCTCATTCGTTCAATAGGTCTTCAAGCAAGCCATGCCGTAAAAAGCCACTATGCTTGTCGTAAGAGGCGACTAACGGGATCGGGTGGTCAGGCTCGCTGACTTGGTTGATGCATGTCATAGTCTCCCAGTTTTGTGGATCGATGCTCATGATGTCGGTCACCGGATTGTCTAGTGGCCAGACTCAATTATTGACAGACCGCCAGGTTTTAAACGCATGTGACAATACCTCACTAGGCGGAGAAAGATTGTTATCTACAAATCTTTCATTCACCAAAATTCCAACAACTGTCCTCTCATTTGGTACTTCTGTAACAAGACCAGAACTTCACAACTTGAAAACATTCAGGAACCAACCCTAGGATTTGTGACTACAATAGTATTCTCCCAAGCCTCCTATAGCTGGCACAAACTATACTCATGTAAATCGTTTAAAGGACTTGGCTGGAGAAGCTTGACCGCGTATATTCAAGTTTGATAAGTTTAAAGCAGCCGATCTTGTCCCACTTGTCTGCCGAATAAGTTTTGAAACGCTCTATCATATACAGAATTTCTGCAGGCTTCTTCAGAACTGGTCGGGCCCCATATGCAAAAGCTATATATGCAAAAGATTAATGATGTGATTTCTTCTATTTCCTTTTATCTACCTTTCTATTCTTACGTTTTAGCGTCCAATGTACATTTCATCATTCCAGGGCTTGGGTTCAAATACAGGAATCACTTTGACTACGATTCTGGGTTTGTCGGGACCATGCGATGATTGTTGGTTTCACCAGCTCACTCAAATAAGACTTTTTATATTTCGAGACCCGTGAAGATCCGGGGTAGAAAAGGTTTCATTAACCCATTCCTCCCGTAAAAGTCGACTATGCTTGTTGTAAGTGGCGACTAAGGGGGTCGGGTGGTCAGGCTAGCTGACTTGGTTGATGCATGTCATTGCATTGCAATGGCGTGGATCGATGTCCATGATGTCAATCACTGATGGATTGTCTGGTCCAGACTTGATTATTTACAGACCGCGTCATTTAGCTGGAATATTGCTAAGTGTGGTGTTAAACAAACAAAAAAAAACTTTCGTAATAATATTTCGTTTTAGTTTGGTTAAACTTTTATTGTAACTTGCGTATCACAACATAATTTTCTTTCAAAAGACATATATTAATATGATATACATCCTAATACCGTTACGTTATAAATAATTCTTTTTTTCAGTCTTATTAGCTTTTATGTACGTTTCATAATGTTTTATTATCAGTTTTACAGTTTTGGTGTCATAATTATCACATGTACTTAATATACACACGGAACGGAAGTGTTACAGAGCTACAGTGTAAGCCTGAGATGCCAAACTATGTATTGTAATGTAATGTAATGTATGTATAGGTGTGATGTGTTAATAGATATGGACTCCATGCATCTGGAGTTTCCAATTTAATAAAATAATAAAATTAATAAAATGTCTTATTCTTATTATGTTGTTTTTCACCAACAGTAAGCAGTTTGTTTTAGACCTACAACTATATGAAAATGAAATAATTATTTATCTTTTATATGAATAATTTTCAGCTAAAAAAACGGAAGATGGATGGCAATTGGGATCACTATAAAGTTGAAAAAGTCAAACGTTTTGACATGATGGAACTTAGTTCTTTGCTGAGGATGCAAAAAACCATGTGCTTTGAGTGTTAGAATCTCCACATGGTATTAGTTCCTCTTGTCTCAAATATTTTCTGTGATATCTATAGAAAGCGCTTCCTTGGTCGAGTGCAATAATATTGAACACGCCGTAAAACCCCATTTTGTCAGTTGTAGTGATGCGTACATATAAATGGTTATGTTATGGATGCCTTGTCAGTGGGAACGACTAAGTTCTCTGGTATGGCAGCCTGGACAACAGTTCCCTGGGACAGCATGGGTGACCTCCAAATCTGGTTACTCATTTTAGGTCAAATGACAACTTCACCCACCAAATCATTTTTATTCGGTGGTAATTCGGAAAGTTTTCCATGTTCATACTATGTTTCTGTGAACGGTATCAAAACTAGCCATATTTGATGACAGAATTGCTTCCCTTCTAACCTGTAGCTGATGAGATTGTTATCAGTATCATATATGTAAGGTGTTTGAAATTTCAAGCTGTATATTCATAATAACTCAAGAATATCAGTGAAATTCAGTGGCACCAGATGTAAGGATTGTAAACTTTGTGTTATTACGCACATCAGATGGCTGCTCGTATACTGACTTGGATCAGTCTTCAGAACTGACTCGTGAATCTCCAGAAGGATCTTGGTCCACAAACATATACATTTTATGCATATTTTGCGGGGAAATATTGTCATGATCCAGGTCTGTGTGTCCGTTCGTATGTCGTTTCCGAAGTATAACTTGAAAACCGTGAATCTTGGTTTGCACGTTAAATCACTATTTTGTGGTATTACCTGATTGCTTCAGTTGTGTTCAACATATGACTTTATTTTATCATATTTTACACACGTTTTTCGAGCATAGATCACATTCCACACGAATCCTTCAGGCGTACACCACATTCCACACAGGTCTTTCTGGCATACACCATATTCCACGCAAGCTTTTTGAGCCTATGCCGCAGTAAATACGAGTCCTGAGAAACATCACATTCCACACGAATCGTTCCGGATTCAAATAACGAGATAATTAGGGCTCCAGCCTAAAAAAACTGATTTCGTATTATTATTCCGCCGTGTTTTGTAGCGACTCTACGAAAACAACCAGTGACCAGAATCTCTCCAAAATCGACAGCACCAATAAGAAGCAGTTACCACAAAAATCTTCCAAATTTGCCATGCTGCAGCGCAATCAGATGCCCATCATTTTGTACTGTAAGACCATGGTAGCTACAAGGCGCCTTTTGGCTGTCATATTGGATTGAAGGTTTTCGACATTGTTTTTGAACAGTTTTCTCACTCCTGGATGCCCAAAGCTTTCTCTCGCACAATATCACAACAATAGCTTCAAAACTTCGCAGACTTTGCCTCTATGTATGACACCACTCGTGAGACGCTTTTTGCGATTTGTCTTCGGTGGCCGCCATATTGAATGCTACTTCCTGTCCAAAGATGTCACAAACACTTAAGCGGGATTTCGTAATGACGTGTTTACATGGAATCTTATCCTGCAAAGTAGTTGCAGCAACTGCTTCCTATGCTGCTATTGGCCACTGAACATTTTCTGCTCTTGAACCCATGTCAAAAGTCAACTGGTTTAGCAGCCATATTGGATTGAACATGTTCACAGCGGATTTGTCATTTGTTTGGATGCGCATCTGCCGCAATCGTTTTCTCTGCCTGTATCAGCTGCAGTACTTTCAAAATGTGCAGATATTGTCTCCATAGTTTAAACATCAACACTTTCTAACCGTTTTCAGATATGGTGATTAGTTACAGGCATATTGGAGTTTGCTTCTGATGTAAATTATGTCATAAATATTGTTTCAAAATATCGTATCTTCATTGGTTTTGCATAGGTATGATTGAAAATTGGCAATAGAAAACAACTTTATATGTCGAATATATTTTGTTCTTAGATGCATGTCAAAAAGTGATTTGTTGAGCGGTCATATTGGAGTCTAGTAGTTTATCTGGAAAAATCTTCTCCTGTGACAATGCGACAGAAAGCTGAAGATTCGGATCCGACACTTAACCGTTTGACTGTAGCTCAATTGACAAAGAAGTTACAACCTATTAAAGAGGGAACTCTTTCTTCTACCGGACTACTTGTAGAAGACCTCTAAACACTTGTATCTCGGTTAATACTGGTCCGATTTCAAACACGTTCCGTGTGTTTATGTAGACTGGGCTTGTGGATAACCCTAGCTAATTAAAACCACATAGCTCCTACGACTACGGAGAGAAAAAATAAAACATAATTCATGTATACCAACATCTTTTAACTTATCGTTCCACACCAGATCTTCCAATAACTGTCAGACTCTTTAGTATTTACATATGCAAATCGTTTTTGAAATGCAGTCACAAATCCCAAGTCCTACATACACCAAATCGTGATCTGACATGTTTTGAAAATGTCCCTTTGTGGGGGAGTGAAAGCGAATTTATGACACTTTAAAATTGTTCAGTAAAGACACTGAAAGAAGCTGCAGTAAAATTTACAAACAAGCCCCGTTCACTACATTTCAATCGGCACAAGATTGATAATTGTTGTTCCAAAAGGTCTTCTCCAATAGGCATATTGATTTCTTAACTTAATACCAGACAACGTGACGTTTCTGATGTGCTTCTATGTCTTGTTCCCTGGTGAACTGCAACTGTATTATCGCTGAGGTTTTCCGATTTTAGTAGTGGCAGAGAGACTAACTGCATAATGCATGTCTCTGGAAACGGACTATAGAAATCAAGTGCGGGCAACATGTCAACATGTTCATTCGAGTGTCAGAATGTGCTGTTTAATTCAATAATTTTGATTAAAAGTGGATGGTTACATGATATATATATGATAGCCTGAAGACACGAGAGAGAGAGTCTGAACATAATACAAATTTGTCATGCTTAGATTGTTTACCAATATATTTTAGAGCTGTTAAAATGGCATTGGATTCGGCTGTAAAAATGGAACTATGATCTGGAAGTTGTGAAGACATAGTCCTGGATCCAATGACAGTGTTGCTGGCAGCCGCGTCACCATCCTTGGATCCATCTGCAAATATAGATTTGTAAGTTTTTTTATGTGTTCCGCAACTGATTAAATTCTTGTTGGTAGATAAATTGGTTTGTGTCAGATTTCTAAAGGTTAGCTGTTCTGAAGGCTCCAAGGCATGAATACTATCTATCTAATACTTTTAAATTACTTTTACAGGCTCCACCATAGCTGATGGAGCCATAGTCCAGTTCAGAGCGGATAATTGTTCTGTACAGTTGAAGGAAGGAGTTCTGATCCCCTCCCCACTTGGATTTTGAAACCACTTTCAGAAGGTCAAGGGCCTTCAGGCATATATTTTTCAAATATTCTGTGTGGTAAAAAGGTCAGATGGTGGTAAGAAATAATGCCCAAGAACTGGGCCTTTTTTACAACTTTAATAGGAATTTATGGATTTCATTTAGACATAACTGTAGTTGTCTTTCAACAGTATTTTTACCACGACATGAAATATTAAATTATCCACGAATAGAGATCCATCAATGGAATCATTTAAAACCTCAGATAGGCTGTTTATTTTAATACTGAAAAATGTGACAGACACAATACTGCCTTGTGGGACACCCTC